GATGCGTGGAGTGGACGGAGCAAGCCCCTATTCCATCTCCCTGCTCCAAAAATCAATTTAATATATGGTCCCCAGATAGGGGACGTATCAGATATTAAACTGATAAGAACAGATACTACACTTGATCTTAGCCAAAAGGCCGAGAAGCGATAAAGGCTCTCACTCGCTGTCCCCTCCACAACTGCCTCCGCTCCTCGCCTCAGCTTTCATATGTTTCTCCCCATAAACAGACAGCCCCACCCCAACGCCCGTGTGCAGTCTCTACACCTCCCTCCCCACGGTCAGCTGCCACACACCCTCCTTGCCCTACACACCCCCTTCTCGCCCCTCTTCCCCCGCACTCCTGCCTGCCTGCCTGCCTGCCTGCCTGCTGCTCGCTGCTTTCCCTCTGCTTCTGCTGCTGCCTCTTACCTCATTTCCCTACGCCCTCCTTCACAGTGCACACGTCACTTATTTGATTGATTCTCGCTCCCTCCCTCGCTACTCTGACTCAGTGGCCGCTCTACACATTAGCTCCTGCCTTGCCTGCCTGCCTGCCTGCCTGCCAGGCCCTACAGCTCACACAACAACTCCTGCTGATAATAATCAGCCTTGCATTTCATATAGCGCCTTATGTCGTCCCCACAGTCAATTCATTTTATAGTAGATTCTGTGATATGATTTAAGACATCTCAACGACGTGGATATGGCTCTATGTCAAACAAAAGGATACTATTATCATTAGGGGGTTTGGCAGATTACTTTGCTGGGGACAATAATTAATGCCTTTCAAAATACTAAATCTTCTCCGCTTGTAAAAGTTTTCCCTTTCCTGGTTCACTTTGTGGTTTCCCTCCATTTCTATTGTGTTGTATCTGAGATCTCAATTGTTTTGGTCCGAGATTAACAAATCTCTTAACTGTATTGACATCAGTATTTGTGCTGGTGAATGTCCCTCATTGTCGTTCGGCGTGTTTCTGTAGGCCAGAATTGCCAGGTGCTTATCTGCCTTTGCGTTGTCTTTCTTTCACATTTTCTCTATAGTCTGTATTTCCCAATCCACCAGACCATCGCTTTGGGGATACCCCGGTGAAGTTGTTTTGTGGTTTTTCTCCCACTGGCTTGTAATGTCTTGTATTCCTTGCTTGAAAATTGAGGCCCATGATCACTAATCATTTCCCTTGGTATTCCTGGCCAGGCAAAGATATCCTTGGCAATTTCCGCTTTAGTTTCGGATGTTGTGTCATTCAACTTTGCTTGTAACCACAGGGGCCAATATGGAATGTAGTTTGACACACAGACAGACACACAGACAGACACACAGACAGACATTTCATCTTTATCTATACTCAGCTGAGAGGACTCCTGTGGGAGGACAATCAGTCTCTCTCAGTCTCCCTCTCTCTGTCTGTCTGTCTGTCTGTCCCACATGAGAGGACTCCAGCTCCCATGACAACCAGAAAACATGCCATACATTTGTTGTAGAATACAGATGTATCTCTCTGAATGGTGTGTGCTTTCGTAAAATCGTTACTTATTTATGTATCCAACAATGGACTTACAATAATAAATAATATTTATTATTATTTATCTGCCAATCGACTAACAATAACAAATAAAACTTATCTATATTTTGCCCACAAATATACAGTCAATTCACTTAGCAGTATATACTGTGAAGCGCTCTGAAACGTCTCAAAGACATGAAAAGCGCTATATCAAATGCAAGGATTATTAATATTATTATGAATCCTATCAGTGTAGCTACCAGGGACGTTCTCCCGACATGAAAGGCGCTATACACATGTAATGTGTTGTTTAATAATAATAATCCAGAATGTCTGTCAGACGTCAAGTCCTGGATGAGAGCTAACTTTCTTCAGTTGAACGTCAACAAGACCGAGGCTCTCCTGATTGGCTCCCATCAGCATCTTCTCACCTCAGGCGTTGACAGCATCACCATTCATCATAATAATAATAATCCTTGGTTACACATTCCACCTTGGTAAGCCAGTCTGGAACTTCGGGGTCTTGTTTGACCCTCGACTATCCTTTTGATTTCACATCTGCGCCATGACCTGCTCTGCCTTCCCCTTCCTGTGCAACGTTGCCCGGCTCAAACAATATCTCACACCGCAGACCGCCAAAACCCTCAAACATGCCTTCATTACATTGAGTCTCGACTATGCAAACTTTCTGCTTGTAGACATCCCAACTCCCCCCTCCACAGGCTGGAGATCATCCAGAACTCTGCAGCCCGTGTCCTCTCCCGCACTAGGCTCCGTGATCCTATCACCCCCATCCTTGCCCAACTCCATTGGCTTCCCATCACACAGAGGATACAGTTTAAGATCCTGGTCCTCACCTTCAAAGTCCTCCACCGTCTTGCTCCCGCCCACCTCTCCAACCTCCTAACCCCCTACCATCCTGTTTACTCCCTCTGCTCAGTGGCTCCAGCCTGCTTCATGTCCTCCGCCTTGCTCACCCCACTATCGGCGGGGAGCCTTAACCACTCTGCACCCACCCTCGGGTACTCCATCCCGCAGTCCCTCCATCTCGCCCCCTCCCTTGACACCCTCAAGACCCTCCTCTTCAACCGTGCTTTCGATTTCCCTGCCCTCCACCCTCAGCTCGGATCCGTAACACTGTGCCTTGGGACGTCCTCCCAATGTGAAAGGCGCTTTACAGATGTAATTTTGTTGTTGTTGCATTTGATAGAGCTGGTGATTCACTTTACAATCCAATCAGTGAAACGCTTTGAAGACATCTCAACAATGTGTTAAGGCGCTACATCAAATGCAGTGACATCTCAACAATGTGATAAGGCGCTACATCAAATGCAGTGATGGTTATGATCAAACATACACACAATCCCAACAAAGTTGTCACTCAGTGGGGAGGGTGAGGATTTGTCTATTTGTCACTGTTTGCAATCTCCCGAGGGAGGTGCACCGTGCCTGGAGATACTGCAATACCAGGTCGATGCGTGGAGTGGACGGAGCAAGCCCCTATTCCATCTCCCTGCTCCAAAAATCAATTTAATATATGGTCCCCAGATAGGGGACGTATCAGATATTAAACTGATAAGAACAGATACTACACTTGATCTTAGCCAAAAGGCCGAGAAGCGATAAAGGCTCTCACTCCCTGTCCCCTCCACAACTGCCTCCGCTCCTCGCCTCAGCTTTCATATGTTTCTCCCCATAAACAGACAGCCCCACCCCCAACGCCCGTGTGCAGTCTCTACACCTCCCTCCCCACGGTCAGCTGCCACACACCCTCCTTGCCCTACACACCCCCTTCTCGCCCCTCTTCCCCCGCACTCCTGCCTGCCTGCCTGCCTGCCTGCCTGCTGCTCGCTGCTTTCCCTCTGCTTCTGCTGCTGCCTCTTACCCCATTTCCCTATGCCCTCCTTCACAGTGCACACGTCACTTATTTGATTGATTCTCGCTCCCTCCCTCGCTACTCTGACTCAGTGGCCGCTCTACACATTAGCTCCTGCCTTGCCTGCCTGCCTGCCTGCCTGCCAGGCCCTACAGCTCACACAACAACTCCTGCTGATAATAATCAGCCTTGCATTTCATATAGCGCCTTATGTCGTCCCCACAGTCAATTCATTTTACAGTAAATTCTGTGAAGCGCTTTGAGCTTTTTATTACTTCACCCTTACATAAATCACTTGATGACCCAATTCCATAACTTTGCGCTGCTTCAATGTGCTCCTTACACAACACTAAGTTGTGTAACACACGAATGGAGAGGGAGAGCTGCAATTCAGTTTTTTACCAATACTCGTCTCCATATAACCGATCATATACCTTCAAAGTTATTCTACACCTAAGATTCGGTACATGCTGAGTTTTTGCCCAGGGTTTCTAACTTTTTTCATGTCATTTTTAATGTGCTCTTCTTTGGCCAGGGGAGTTCTACCTTCACCAAAATAACACAGACAAGAGGAAAGCCCATTTAGAAATAAGTGGAACTTTCCTTAAGTGCAAGTTGAACAGCTGCCACCTGGTGCTGCTGTATGCTTTTGCAGCACTTGTTTTTATCATTCTGTACAGTGTTGCTTTTGCCCATTGCACAGAAAAGCTACATCAAATTAATTTATATATTTATATATGCATTTATATAGCTCCCTTTACACCGGGTAGTGTCTCCGAGTGCTTAACTGTGGCAGAGTTTGACACTGAGTTGAGGAGAAAGGGAAAGGATGTTGAAAATCAATAAGAGAAAGGAGTTTCTCTCATGCAAAGAATCTGTTGTGTTCACAACACTCCAAGTGTAGAAATTTTCGTTTTCTCAGTTCACAAGTTACAAATCAAACAATCCAACCAAAAAACCTCTGGTCAGTTCTCCACGCTTCCTGCTTTAATAATAATAATAATAATAATCCTTGCAGTTGATATAGCGCTTTCACGTCGGGAGGATGTCCCAAAGCGCTTCACAGAACACACTGTAAAGTGAATTGACTGTATATTTGTGGGCGAATGCGGCAGCCAATTGTGCACAGCAATGTCCCACAAACAGTCGTAGATTGAAAATGACCAATTTATTATTGTTTTGTTTTTTTGGAGGGATTACTATTAGGCGTGTGGAGTAAGGAAACTTGCCCAAGGTTTCGCCCTGCCTGGAATTGAACTCAGCTCTCTCGCTTGCAAAGCGAGCGCTCTAACCACTGAGCTACAGGACTTTCTATCTCCTGATCCCCTTTCATTGGTCCTTATTTTCTTAAAGGGTATCCAATATCACTCCCGTTTTGGTTTCTTCATATTTTTTTCTTTGTGTCTCAGTCTTATATAATTATTCTCCTTGTTGGTTTTACTCGTCTTCCTGAACTGGTGGTTCTTGATGTTTCTAGAATATTCGGATCTGCTCTTCTTTTTCTTCCTCTGTCCTTCTTTGGCGTATTTCCCATGACTTTCTGCTATATATTTTTCTGTTATCACTTTTAAGCCAATATGATCTTGGGTTTTTATCCTTCTTCCAAATGTCTCCTTTTGTCCAAGCTTCTGTTTTTAGGTATTTTTTCTCCTTTTGCAAAAGTTCTCCCTTTCCTGGTTCACTTTGTGGTTTCCCTCCATTTCTATTGTGTTGTATCTGAGGTCTCAATTGTGTTTGGTCTGAGATTAATAAATCTCTTAACTGTATTGACATCAGTATTTGTGCTGGTGAATGTCCTTCATTGTCGTTCGGCGTGTTTCTGTAGGCCAGAATTGCCAGGTGCTTATCTGCCTTTGCGTTGTCTGTCTTCCACATTTTCTCTATCGTCTGTATTTCGCAATTCACCAGACCATTACATTGGGGATACCCCGGTGAAGTTGTTGTGTGGTTTTTCTCCCACTGGCTTGTAATGTCTTCCCATGATCACTAATCATTTCCCTTGGTATTCCTGGCCAGGCAAAGATATCCTTGGCAATTTCCGCTTTAGTTTCGGATGTTGTGTCATTCAACTTTGTATATTCACTAATAGCTGTAACCATTGCAGCTTCGCTTGTAACCACAAGGGCCAATATTTAATGTAGATTGACACACAGACAGACACACAGACAGACATTTCATCTTTATCTATACTCAGCTGGGAGGACTCCTGTGGGAGGACAATCAGTCTCTCTCAGTCTCCCTCTCTCTCTCTGTCTGTCTGTCCCACATGAGAGGACTCCAGCTCCCATGACAACCAGAAAAATTGCCACATATTTGTTGTAGAATATAGATGTATCTCTCTGAATGGTGTGTGCTTTCGTAAAATCATTACTTATTTATGTATCCAACAATTGACTAACAATAATAAATAATATTTATTATTATTTATCTGCCAAACTAACAATAACAAATAATAACTTATCTACGTTTCGCCCACAAATATACAGTCAATTCACTTCACAGTGAAGCACTTTGAGATGTCTCGAAGACATGAAAAGCGCTATATCAAATGCAAGGATTACTATTATTATTATTATTATGCATCCTATCAGTGTAGCTGCTTGGGACGTACTCCCGACATGAAATGACGCTATATACATGTAATATGTTGTTGTTACTAATAATAATCCAGAATGTCTGTCAGACATCAAGTCCTGGATGAGAGCTAACTTTCTTCAGTTGAACGTCAACAGGACCGAGGCTCTCCTGATTGGCTCCCATCAGCATCTTCTCACCTCAGGCGTTGACAGCATCACCATTCATAATAATAATAATAATCCTTGCATTTGATATTGCACTTTTCACGTCTTCTAGACATCTCAAAGCGCTTCACAGAATATACTGTAAAGTGAATTGTCTGTGGGCGAAATGCGGCAGCCAAATTGCGCACAGCAGTGTCCCACAAACAGTCGTGGATTGAAGTGACCAATTTATTATTGGGTCTTTTTTCTTGAGGGATTATTATTATGCATATGGAGTAAGGAAGCTTGCCCAAGGTTTCGCCCTGCCAGGAATTGAAGCCAGGTCTCTCGCTTGAGAGGTGAGTGCTCTAACCATTGAGCTACAGGACTCCACATTATTCATGGTTGCACCATTCATGGTTGTGCACTCCACCATGCTAAGCCAGTCTGCAACCTTGGGTTCCTGTTCACCCTCAACTATCCTTTCGATCCCACATCTGCGCCATGACCTGCTCTGCCTTCCCCCACCTCCGCAACGTCGCCCAGCTCCGACACTGTCTCACACAGCAGACCACCGAAACCCTCATTCACGCCTTCATTACATCAAGGCTCGACTATGCAAACTCACTGCTTGTCGGCCTCCCCAACTCCTCCCTCCACAGGCTGGAGATCATCCAAAACTCTGCAGCCCGTGTCCTATTCCGCACTAGGCTCCACGACCCTATCACCCATCCTTGCCCAACTCCACTGGCTTCTCATCACACAGAGGATACAGTTCAAGATCTTGGTCCTCACCTTCAAAGTCCTCCACCGTCTGGCTCCCCCCTACCTCTGCGACCTCCTAAACCCCTACAACCTTGTTCGCTCCCTCCACTCAGCGGGCTCTGGCCTGCTTCACGTCCCCCGTCTTGCTTGCCCCACTATCGACAGGTGGGCTTTCTCCACTCTGCATCCATCGTCTCGAACTCCATCCCACAGTCCTTCCCTCTCGCCCCCTCCCTTGCCACCCTCAAGACCCACCTCAAGACCCTCCTCTTCAACCGTGCTTTCAATTTCCCTGCCCTCCACCCTCAGCTCAGATCCGTAACACCGTCTGTTCAGAGCCTTGGGACGTCCTCCCGACGTGAAAGGCGCTTTACAGATGTAATTTTGTTGTTGTTGCATTTGATAGAGCTGGTGATTCACTTTACAATCCAATCAGTGAAACGCTTTGAGACATCTCAACAATGTGATAAGGCGCTACATCAAATGCAGTGATGGTTATGATCAAACATACACACAATCCCAACAAAGTTGTCACTCAGTGGGGAGGGTGAGGATTTGTCTATTTGTCACTGTTTGCAATCTCCCGAGGGAGGTGCACCGTGCCTGGAGATACTGCAATACCAGGTCGATGCGTGGAGTGGACGGAGCAAGCCCCTATTCCATCTCCCTGCTCCAAAAATCAATTTAATATATGGTCCCCAGATAGGGGACGTATCAGATATTAAACTGATAAGAACAGATACTACACTTGATCTTAGCCAAAAGGCCGAGAAGCGATAAAGGCTCTCACTCCTGTCCCCTCCACAACTGCCTCCGCTCCTCGCCTCAGCTTTCATATGTTTCTCCCCATAAACAGACAGCCCCATCCCCAACGCCCGTGTGCAGTCTCTACACCTCCCTCCCCACGGTCAGCTGCCACACACCCTCCTTGCCCTACACACCCCCTTCTCGCCCCTCTTCCCCCGCACTCCTGCCTGCCTGCCTGCCTGCCTGCCTGCTGCTCGCTGCTTTCCCTCTGCTTCTGCTGCTGCCTCTTACCTCATTTCCCTACGCCCTCCTTCACAGTGCACACGTCACTTATTTGATTGATTCTCGCTCCCTCCCTCGCTACTCTGACTCAGTGGCCGCTCTACACATTAGCTCCTGCCTTGCCTGCCTGCCTGCCTGCCTGCCAGGCCCTACAGCTCACACAACAACTCCTGCTGATAATAATCAGCCTTGCATTTCATATAGCGCCTTATGTCGTCCCCACAGTCAATTCATTTTATAGTAGATTCTGTGATATGATTTAAGACATCTCAACGACATGGATAAGGCTCTATGTCAAACAAAAGGATACTATTATCATTAGGGAGTTTAGCAGATTTCTTTACTGGGGACAATAATTAATGCCTTTCAAAATACAATAAATTAAAATTTTACACCCATAAAATCACCCTCAGTGTCTCAACAATACAACAATAATGATTGTTGTATTTGATGACACACTTTATCAGGTTGTTGAAATGTCTCAAAGCATTTCACAGGATTTTTACTGTAAAGTAATATTTTTGTCTGTGTGTTTGTAGGTTAACACGAGAGTCAATTTGTGTCCACAAATATCTCCCAACCAGACATGAAGTGGATGACAAATTTTATCTGGAGGATTGTTGCCCTGGATTATGGGAAAAAGAAACTCCCTTCTGTTTTTGATTACAACAACAACAAGAAGATTCCATTTATAAAGCGCCTTTCACGTCAGGAGGACATCCCAAGGCGCTGCACAGTTGGGTCATGACCCGAGCAGGGGGGAAATGGTCAGGGTGAGGGGAGGGAAGGGAGGGAGCGAGGAGGGGGGAAATGGTCAGGGTGAGGGGAGGGAAGGGAGGGAGCGAGGAGGGGGAAGAGAGTCAAGAGGGGAGCTGAAGGCTCGGTTAAAGAGAAAGAGAGAGTACCATAGCGTTTGTAATCTGAAGGCAGATGGAACCTTGGTTGATCATTTCATCTGAAGGACGGCATCTCTGACAATTGCTGTGTTGCTCCAGGACTGAAGTGGAGTATCAGCCTGGACTGTGAAAGTCTCAATGAGGAGCTTGAACCCACAATAATAATGGTTACATTTGATATCTTTCCTGTCAAAGCACTCCACAAAACTTCAGTGTAGAGTGCATTTCTGTATATTTTTGGAGGTGAACACAGCAGGCAATTTGTGCACAGCAATGTCCCACCAATAGCTATGAAGTGAATCATGAAGTGAGTTTACCTGGGGGTTTGTTGATAAGTAGAACAGGCAGACAAGACCACCAACAATGCAATGTTCCCCTGCATTACATTGGAGTGGGAGTTGAAAGTCCCGAAGTAGGGCTTGAACCCACAACCTTTTAACTCGGAGGCGAGATTATTATCCAGTCAAGCTTATCAAAGAAATTGAACTCCGCTTTTTGTTATTTCACCCTTACATAAATCACTTGATGACCTAATTCCATAACCTTGTGCTGCTTAAATGTGCTCCTTACACAACACAAAGTTATATAATACACAAATAGAGAGGGAGAGCTGCAATTCACTTTGTTACCAATACTCATCTCCATATGATAACTGATCATGTGATTGACCTTGAAAGTTATTCTCCACCTAAGATTGGGTGTCTGCTGTGGTTGGCGCAGAGTTCCTAACTCATTTCATGTCATTTTTAATGTGCTCTTCTTTGGCCAGGGGAGTTCTACCTTCACCAAAATAACACAGACAAGAGGAAAGCCCATTTGCAAATAAGTGGTACTTTCAGCAGCATGGAGTTTAGGTGAAGGGTGATGGGATGGGGGGATGTTGTTGAAATGATCCCTGTTTGTCTGCCCATTCACAACATTCACATCATTCACAACAAATGCTGCTCCTCAGCTTGTTACACAACTCCCTGACGTCAGGGAGAGTTACAGTAACGAGTAAAGGAGAGTTACAGAGAGAGAGAGAGGAGGGAGAGAGGCTCACAGCAACATGTCCCTGTACAGGAACCTTGTGTGGTTCAGCAAAGGGCTGTGGGAGTACACCAGGTGAGGGGGTACACCAGGGGAGGGGGGGGCACCCCCCACCACAGCATCAGGTCGCAGGGTTTGGCACAGGGTTTTCAGATTCTTTTGCATTTGATCTCTTGTTGTGTGACTCGAACGTATGTTTCTTTCTCCCCTCCCCCACTCTCTATGGGGGGGGAGAGAGGGGGTGGTGGGGGGGGAGAGAAGGGTTGGTGGGGGTGGGGGGGGAGAGAGGGGTTGGTGGGGGGGAGAGAGGGGGTGGTGGTGGGTGGGGGAGAGAGGGGGTGGGGGTGGGGGGGGAGAGAGGGGGTGGTGGGGGGGGGAGAGAAGGGTTGGTGGGGGTGGGGGGGAGAGAGGGGGTGGTGGGGGGGGGAGAGAGGGGGTGGGGGTGGGGGGGAGAGAGGGGTTGGTGGGGGGGGAGAGAGGGGGTGGTGGTGGGGTGGGGGGGAGAGAGGGGGTGGGGGTGGGGGGGAGAGAGGGGTGGGGGTGGGGGGGAGAGAGGGGGTGGGGTGGGGGGGAGAGAGGGGGTGGTGGTGGAGGTGGTGGTGGGGGAGAGGGGTTGGTGGAGGTGGTGGGGGGTAGTGGGTGAGAGGGGAGGTGGTGGGGTGGGGGAAGAGGGGTTGGTGGAGGTGGTGGGGGAGAGGAGGTGGTGGGGGAGAGGAGGTGGGGGAGAGGGGTTGGTGGAGGTGGTGGGGGAGAGGAGGTGGTGGGAGGGTGAGAGGGGGAGGTGGTGGGGGAGAGGAGGTGGTGGGGGAGAGGGGGAGGTGGTGGGGGAGAGGAGGTGGGGGAGAGGGGTTGGTGGAGGTGGTGGGGGAGAGGAGGTGGTGGGAGGGTGAGAGGGGGAGGTGGTGGGGGAGAGGAGGTGGTGGGGTCGCTCCTTGTAAGTCGCCTTTGTTTTGCTGGAATGACTGCACGTGTTCAACAATTGTTTATCCAGAGTTGTTTTCGTGCAGAAATGTTTGATCTGACTGGATCGCCATTTTATTTGGTGTTGTTGTGCTGAGTTCTCGCTGTTACATTCCTGGCAGATGTGAGCTGCCTGGAGCTGTCAGGCGGTTACACCAGTGGGTGGCAAACCCAGTGGGGAACACGTCTCCAACACTGATCTCTTGGGTTGTGCACTCCACTCGAGGGGAAGGAGAAAAACACGGAAATCCGTGTGAATTGGGTGTGAATTGCAAATCAAAAGCAACACTGCATCGATCAGCCTTGGCCTCCTGGACAGGTAGTTGCATCAAACCCCAGAATCAGTCAGAGAGCACCAGTCAACCTTCAGCCCTGACTGGGGCTGAACTCTGCTCCTCTGCAACTGGGACCTCTACTTGAAAGGATATTGGGAGATGTAGTTGAAACGGATTGGTGATGCATTTGCAGGTCAATATACTCACTGTGATGCAGGTATTTTACAGCATTGTGCTTAAACTGTCCTTGAGGCAGACCTTCAACTAACTCTCTATTCTTGTGCAGAATGCCTTTCAGTTTGTGAAATGATGGGACCCTAACTAAATATTTTACTTCAGTAATTGAGGTTATGAAAGGATAGTTTCAACTGTGACCCCCTTGAAAGGATGTTGGGAGATGTAGTTTATTGTGATTTATCAGCGTGTCTGCTCCTTGTTGGAGGATAACAAACAAAGAAGTACTTGCATTTATTTTCAAGTAAAGCTTTCTATGTGCTTGACAGATGTATTGGTGATCGCCAACGAGGCGGATGAGAGATGTTGATCAAAAGCATGATTGAAGAGATTTTTTTTTAGAAAGGTTTAGAAGCCAAGAAGAGAGTTAGCAAAGAAGGTTTATTATACGGTGACAATAATCATCCATGCATTTAATACAGTCTTATCACTTCACTAAAATGTCTCAAGTGCTTCATGGGATTTTACGGTAAAGTGTAATGACTGGATTGGGGAGGTGAAAGTGGTAGTTTTCTGATTGCTGACTATGTTAAGTGATTTAAATGCAAGAATTATTTAATTGATTGAATTTCTGAGGTCTCTGATCTGAAGTGCAATTCTATTGCGATTGCAAACATTTGTGTGGCGGCTTCACACAGTGGAGCCTTTTTTTGATTTGTAAACCGGAAGGTTTTGCTTGAGATCAACATTTTGCTGGCCACTACTTAGTTGTGAAAAAACCGTGAGATACCAGAGTTTGTGTTCTGAGAAAATCCTTTGTTAACGCAAAGTCAAACCTGACCTGACAGTACTGTGGCTTGTTGAAGGAATAGGGTTAATTCAGGCAGAGCATACATGAGGGAGAAGAGAATAAAGGGGTGAAGAGAATAGGAGGGTCGGGGCTGATGTGGGAGTATGAACTCTGGAATGGACTAGTTGAGCCAAAGGGCTTGTTTCACTCTGTGTAACTTTATACTCTGACTGGCTCCCCATCCCTCAGAATATCAAGTTCAAAATTCTTGGCCTTTACCTTCAAGGCCCTCCATGGCTTTGCCCCTCCTACCTCTCCGACCTGCTAACCCCTTATGAACCTGTCCGCTCCCTCTGTTCAGCAGTCTCCGGTCTGCTCCATTTGCCCTGCCCAGCTCTCCCCACCATCGGCAGCCAGACCTCTTCAGCCTCTCTGCCCCCACCCTCTGGAACTCCATCCCACATTCCCTTCATCTCGATCCCTCCCTTCCCTCCCTCAAGGCATGCCTCAAGACCCTCCTCTTCGACCATGCCTTCAGCCACCCTCTCTGCCATCCACCCTCACTGACCCCAACCCCCTCTCCCCCCCCACTTGGGTCCTAATCCCTATTCAGGGCCTTGGGACATGAAAGGCGCTTCACAAATGTAATTTTGTATTGTATGTAGCATTGCTGTCTCTTATTACTTTTTGTAGCTGTTGGTTTGATCTATATTTTGTTTAGAGGTGGATATGAAGCTGCAGCGAAGCAGTTTACTCCAAAGGATCTTGATGTCAACATTACAGGCAGGTCCTTCATGATCACTGGAGGTAACAGTGGAATCGGCAAAGCCACGGCATTAGAAATTGCGAAAAGAGGTGATTACTTTTGCAAAAGCACTCACATAGAGCAACCCTGCAGAAAGGATCCTTCACTGAAAGCTACCCGATTCCAGTTGAGAGTTTATATCAACACTCTTCAGTGCAGACCTTGTAGATTTACACACAAGCTGATCCTGGTCTCTCTATTCTATATTTCTGTTGTTCCACTGTGTACTACTGTATTTCTGTTGTTTTCTAGGTGTGCTCAACTCTTAATTCTAGCTCCTTCCTTATACCTTATTTTTTCACATTTCTCTCTCGCTAAGCATTATTTCATATCACCATGACTAATGGTACTTTTGCACAACCCATCTGGTAACATTTGTGTAATACTTTCACAGCAAGTGTTTACTGGCAAAATTCATTCTGTGTCTGTAAATCTGTGTTCTGTCAACTTTTTAAGAATCTGAGACTATCAATTCTTAACCAACCTGATTTACGGTTTTGAAGAACTCCTGCCAGATGTAGTTAAAGGCTGTAAAATTCAGGACCTGGAATCATGAACCTGCCTTAAGATCCTCCAGCCTCTAATAATAATAATATAATAATAATCCTTGCATTTGATATAGCGCTTTTCACATCGGGAGGACGTCCCAAAGCGCTTCACAGAATATACTGTAAAGTGAATTGACTGTATATTTGTGGGTGAACGCGGCAGCCAATTGCGCACAGCAATGTCCCACAAACAGTCGTAGATTGAAAATGACCAATTTATTATTATTTTTGTTTTTGGAGGGATTATTATTAGGCGTGTGGAGTAAGGAAACTTGCCCAAGGTTTTGCCCTGCCTGGAATTGAACCCAGGTGTCTTGCTTGCAAAGCAAGTGCTCTAACCACTGAGCTACAGGACTCCACAAAGAGGACTCTTTAACCAATTGTCCTCTTAAAACTTATCTAAGATTCACAATATGTTTATAACCAGAAGTCTGCAAACTTGCCCTTGTAAGAGAATTATCAGTTCTTGTTTGATCTCTGCATTTTAAAGTTTTATTCTTAAGGAAGTATGATACTTTAATTTCACTTTTAGAATGTGTGGTAGAATATTCTATTACTGGTGGAATATCCCTGCAGCAAATGTCCAGATTGATTTTATAAAGAGGAATATTCCTAAGAATTCTCTTCAATCCAGTCCGTTGACTTGGACTTTAACTGGTACTTTGGCTGAACCTAAAGCCACTGCCTAAATCTGCCAGAAATTCTAATAAAAGTTGTGCCTTTTTCCAGGGGGAACGGTTCATCTTGTTTGCAGAAACAAAGAGCGAGCTGAAGCAGCCAAAGAGGAGATAGTGAAAGAGAGTAACAAAGAGGTACAGAAACCTCCACAAATAACTAATGTTTTTTTCTATAAGGAGTGTAAGTGTTGTAAATGAATCCAATCTTTTGCAAGGATAATATTTGCAATTAATTTCACATATGCAAATTTCTTTTAGATCTTTTATATTGTCTCCTCATGGTTTAGTTAAAACAGCTGTTGCAGACCAGGAACGTCCTAGGTTTGATTCCTTGGTCTCCGTGGAGCTTCATACATTATACCTACTCGAACAGGTTCTTTCAGAGCCATCTTTTCCTTCAAGCTCTTATTGATTTATTGTGAATTTGACGATTTAGTGAATATTGAATATTAACTGTGGCACCTATCAAAGCACTCACATGGAACCACTCGTGAGTAGCCACCTGCAAAAGTGCCCATGGAACAAACTGTGGTTTCTTCAGGCAATCCTTGTACAGCACGCAAACTCATCAGCCGTGATGAGAATTCATCAAATGTTACCATCTCTTTGCTGCATAGGTGGTTCCTGGAAAAAATACTGTTTATGATGTGGTCACTTTTACTGATGGCAGCCAGCAATGTCACTGCTAGGGTGCTTTTAAATGTCCATTATGACTTTGAATAGTTATACAGGACTAATCTTTTACAGTAAGGAAATACCACTAAACTCCTTTGAACGATGCTCCTGAAAGCAGGGACACTGAATGGCTATGTGGTAGCAGTAGCAGGGCTTCGGGCACGACAATTGCTGTCGTGCAAAAAAATGATGACATTTAAACACATTAAAACTCTGGCTACCCGGACCAATGTGGGGAGGGGGGGGGCGGGTGGGGAGTTGGTGGCGGGGGGGCGATACAGTCTGGTGAGCCTGAATTTTCAGCTAAGTATAATTTATACTGGCTTGTTTTGGGCCCAGTACAGCCAGATACAAATTCCGGCTACCCGGAGTCTGGTAAGATGGGGGTTTACTGATGAAAATGAAATGGGGTCTGAAATATTTTAATGTAAACCAATATGAGACCTGGAAAAAATACATGGATTGAATCATCGTACCAATTATGGTTCTCTAACACTGAGTCTGAAAAGAAGAATGCTATATGTCACAGTGGCCATGGCAATGAAGAGTCTAGCAAAGGATTTGTTACATTAGGCATGTACATGACAGGTTTGACAATATTGTCTGCAATACTTGTGAATGCTTACAGATGATGAATGCGGATTTCGGGCAAAGCAATATGTAAATCGTGCATAGATTCAGTTCAGATGCTGAGGATGTATTTTGTATTTTCTGTTCATTTGAATCCAGGAAATCTTTGTGCATATTCTTGATATGTCCAGGCCCAAGATGATCTTGGAATTTGCAGACAAATTTCAGCAAGAAAATAACAAACTTGATGTTTTGGTAAGTGTGACCTGTCATTAACTAGTACTGTAGTTTGTATGCTGTTCTCATCAATTCCTGTAGGGCTAAGGATAGGGAATATTTGTACAACAACAAATTGCATTTATATAGCGCCTTTCATGTCAGGAGGATGTCCCAAGACACTGGACACATGAGGGTTTGCACCCAATCTGGCCATTTGGATTTGGGAGCAGTGGGGCAAGGTGGGAAGATGACTGAAGGCTGGTCAAAGAGGAAGGTCTTGAGATGGGTCTGAAGGAGGCGAGGCAAAGGCACGGAATTCTAGAGAGTGGGGCAGAAAGACTGAAGGCCTGACTGCCGATGGTAGGGCAGACAGGGTGGGAGATGTGAAGCAGGCCAGTGCCTGCCAAGTGGAGGGAGCGGTAGATTGGTAAGGTATGATTTAATTAACATGTAAAAGGGGAATAATGTTATCAGGTTTGGCTTCCCACTAGTTTAGTGCCTAAACATGGCCATGTGTAGTGGCTCCTAGGATATACTAGTGTTAGACCTAGTCAAAGCTTCAGTAAGCCTAATCTGGACATCCAGATGAGGCAAGGATATAAAAGGGAAGTCTGCAGACCATTTTGAGCTTTTCCAAATTGTGGGTAGCTTGGTTTGAAACCACATTGGGACCTCCTCTATTTATTTTCGGTGCTGCCAAGGAAGCAATTTGTTTCATTGTGTCCTCACTAGCTCCTTGAAAAAGCTGCCCATTTAGTCACATTTTTATGTCGTTACCCCATAGCTCCTTAATACTTTTCTCTCTCAAATATTTTGCTGATTACCTTTTAAAAGCTATTATGTTGGACAGAGGACAGGATCAGGCTTGGCTGTGAATCTCCTTTGGTTGACTAACACGAACTGTCCAGTGCAAACATGAGTAAGCATTAAAAATTATTTTTTTAAAAATCTTCTCTTTAATAGATTAACAACGCAGGCTGCATGATCAATCAGAGAGAGTTGACCGCAGATGGATTGGAGAGTAACTTTGCCACAAATACTTTGGGTAAGTTCAGGTTTTCATGTACTTTATTACATTAGTTTATTCATAATGTGGTGACCTTGCCCCAATGCTCTTGAGTTGCAAATAAAAAGTTGTTTGAATTAAAGGTAAAGAAAAGTTCAGACGAATGTCTGGCCACTGCTTCCCCAGCACTTTATTAATGTTTGCAATGTGCTCGGGAATTAAATGAAAAGTGATTGTCTGCCTATCTGTATGAACTCGGCTGCTCCATCCACTTAGTGGGTACGCCAACATGCCTCACATCTGCACCCCATCGGCAGCTTATCTGCCTCCACTCTCAGGAACACCATCCCAGAGTCCCTACGACTCGCCCCTTTCCTCACGTCCTTCAAGGTCCCACTCAAGACCTTTCTCTTTGACCACACTTCTGGTCAATTCCCCCATCCCCGACACCCCCCCCCCCCATTCAACAACAACAACTTGCACTTATATAGAGCTCTCCACGCAGGGTAGAGTCTCAGAGGGGGTGCAAACCCTGGACTGTCCAGTATCTTGGGACATTCTCCTGATGTGAAAGGTGCTAAATTTAAATAAATGTAAATTTGTTGTTGTTATGTTTTACAGACAGGATTAGATTTCTAAATATTGTTGATTATAGTTTATAGCATTTCAGCTGTTAAACATTGAAATGACAAACACAATACATGTACGTATCTGGCAACTTTGTGGCATGTACGTAAACAAAATATTTTTGCCAACATCATAATCCAGCTACGCTTCAGTAACAAGAGTGGATACTTGATGTGAGATTCTGCTGCAATAATGAAAGGAAAGTGTTGAGTTTCACTTGAGATTTTTGTAAATCAATTTCCTGATATCAGCAGGCTATTTAATTTTGGGGTGGGAGGAGGGGAGGGAGGGAAAGCATGAGGTCACAGCATAGTTCAATCCTATTTTCATCCAATACCCATACACCAATTTCTCCAGCAAGGGTCACTGGATAATTAGGAGCTGAATTTCCTCTTTCCTAAACCTGGTTGCACCGAGGCAGGTTGTGACTCCCAACTGCTGCTCTGACTTGAGATCAGCTACTTTAGCACATAATGAGGATCTCCTGGGTCCACATGACTCAGGATGTGCCGTCTTTCAGAAGAGACGTTAAACCGAGGTCCCTTCTACCTGTTCAGGGGGATGTTAATGATCCCATGGCACTATTTGAAAAGGCAAGTGAGTTTCTGGAGTCCTGTAGCTCAGTGGTTAGAGCACTCGCTTTGCAAGCGAGAGACCTGAGTTCAATTCCAGGCAGGGCGAAACCTTGGGCAAGTTTCCTTACTCCACACGTCTAATAATAATTCCTAAAAAAACAAAAACAATAATAAATTGGTCATTTTCAGTCTACAATTGTTTCTGAAACACTGCTGTGCGCAATTGGCTGCTGCGTTCGCCCACAAATATACCGTCAATTCACTTTACAGTATATTCTGTGAAGCGCTTTGAGACGTCCTCCCGACGTGAAAAGCACTATATCAAATGCAAGGATTATTATTATTATAGGTAGAGGCATGTAGAGTAAGGAAACTTGAATTATTATTATTATTATTTCTTTCCCGGTGTCCCGGCCAACAATTCCCCAAATAAAATTGGTCACTCACTCTATGGCTGTTTGTGAAATATTACTTTGCACATTAGCTGCCATGTCCGTCCAGTCACTTCACTTTACCGTATATCCTGTGAAGCGCTTTAAGACATATCGATGACTTGATAAGGTGCTATATTAAGTGCAAGGATTCTTCTTATTAGATAGACCTATGCAGTCTATGTGAATGATTACCTCATGGATATATCCCTTTTTACTCAGGTACATACATTCTCACTACCGCGTTGATGCCTCTTTTGAAAAAAAATGAAGCTGCCAGAGTGGTGAGCTCACTTCATCTTGTGAAAGTTAAGAAATCCTTGCGAATGTCGTTGATTCTATTCACGCTTTATCAACTGCTGCTGAGCAACTACCTTTGCCTTCCCCATTTTTTGTCAGATCACAGTATCCTCGGGAGGAATGTTGGTTCAGAAATTAAATATCAGTGATTTGCAATTTAAGACTGGCCAATTTGATGGGACCATGGCCTATGCACAGAACAAGGTTAGTATTGTATTGTACATTAGCCTGCCTAAGAGAGCAAACAAGTAGTGTATTGTGTCTAATTAAGAGATCTAGCTGCATTTCTCTGCATATTTTTTGTTGTTATTTTCTTGGTACATATTTCATTTAAGAATTTGAGGAAGATATATCTCCAGTGNTTTTTGATGCAATATTTAATTTGTAATAAGATGTGATTCCTGATTGGAAGCGGTTACAGCACAATACAAATTTACATTTATATAGTCCCTTTCACAGGGTCCTAAAAGTTTCATTCTTGTCTATGCTTTCGCTTTAGAGATATGTGTCCTACAAACTCTAAAGAAACAAACACAAAGAAATGGAGGTTAGGATCGAGAGCACAATATTTCCTCCTCCGCCCACCTTCCATTTTCTAAATGCAGCACATATATTAGTTGTGTGTAATTGTACATAACCTGTCTTTCCTATCCAGCGGCAACAAGTTATTATGACGGAACAATGGGCTAAAATGCATAAAGAAATACACTTCTCCTCAATGCATCCCGGTTGGGCTGATACACCAGGTAATACAAATGCCTGTCTTCGCTATAGATAAATTAACCTTCAATGTCTTAGTGACCTAATGTTCTGTAGACGACAGTTTGACTATATCTTTCTAGTGTTAGTAAAGCATTTTTCCTCCTTTCTCCTATAGCAGTGAGAACTTCCATGCCTGACTTCTATGAAAAAATGAAGAACAGGCTGCGGACAGAGGGTCAGGGGGCAGATACAGTGGTGTGGCTCGCGATCTCCAATGTACAATCACAGCATCCCAGCGGACTCTTCTTTCAGGGTAAGAAAGAATGCTAGAGTTCATCCGGAGTCTTGTAACCCATGTTTCTTTTTTCCTCACCTCCAGCTGAACAAGAAGCAAATCCAGTCCCTTTATTTTTAATATTTTTGAATGCTTCAATTGAGTAAGGATTTATTTATATGGGAGTCTGCCCTAGAATTGTAGTACATTTAGCTTGAGCTTCTAATGAGTTCGCCATAAAGTACACCTCAATATCTAAATCATATCCTGCCTCCTTTCCCTCCAATTTTTCAAAATTTCAAAAATCTTTGAAGCATGTTCCACGAAGATCACTTTTCTGGCGCCTTGGAATACAGATTCAGAATTATCTGTTTGCACAGCATCAAATAAAATTGGTCATTGCATTTCTGTTTGTGCGTAAACTGGATGCTGTGTTTGCCCACAAAAACACACAGTTTCTGCACTTTACAGTATATCCTCTGAAATGCTTTTGGACTTTATTCCTAGCCATAGCTGAAAATTTCTGCAGACATTTATTTTAGGTTAGCAACTTTACTGGGCACATTTCTGTGAACACAAAGAGTGTGCTTTCACCATTTGAATGCGAAAAATTATTTTTTTGACTAGATCGGAAGCCGGTCTCAACTCATCTTCCTCTGGCCCAAACCAGAGCATCGCTTGAGGATGAGGAGCAGCTAATGAAAACCCTGGAGCAACTGGCTGCAGACTTTACACCCGGCTGTGACTGATTACTTCAGGGTTATAGTGCCATGGCTGAAATCCACAAACTTGGTACAGACATCAGAAATTCCATCATGGATGTCAATGGCACAGTTAACACCAAGGGCAAGAATACATTACTAAAAACTGCCGGATTCCTGCAATGATGTAGTACTAAAACAACAGCTTTTTAACAATAGGGAATAATGAATTATTGGCCAAGATACTGGGAGAAACTCCCTTCTGTTTTCGAATAGTGCCATGGGATATTTAACGTCCACCTGAAAAGGCAGAGGACCTCAGTTTAACGTCTCATTCAAAGGAAAGAACTTACAACAATGCACTACATTGGAGTGTCATCTTAGATTAAGTGATTCCTAGTCCCGATGTGGGGTTTAAACCCACAATCTGACCCAGAGGTGAGAGTGCTACCACTGCGCCAGGCTGACACACTTACTGGATTGTATGATTTATTAATAAATATATGAACAGATGATCTGACAAACAAGCATTTGTTTCTTATTATCAATAAGCGGTACGACTTTGAATACAATTATTGAACTTACTATAGGTGCTAATTGTAAATCTAATAATGTGCTGTATCAAGAAATGCCCACGTTATAGGTGATGTATGTGTTGGGCACGGGATTATGGGGGCGGTCCAGAGAAAGATCGTTCTGGGTGGATGGTTGCTCTGCTTGGGAGTGCTTTGGTGGTTGCTGTGGAAGAGTACTTCGTGGTGAAAGATTGCTGTGTGTGTATGATTACTCGGGCGGGTGGGTGGGGGTGTTGCTGTGTGTGTATGATTGCTGGGGTGGGGGATGGTGCTGTGTGTGTATGATTGCTGGGGGTTGGGGTGCTGTGTATGATTGCTGGGGGGGGTGGGGTGCTGTGTGTGTATGATTGCGGGGGGGGGGTGTATGATTGCTGGGGGGGACTGTGTGTGTATGATTGCTGGAGGGGGTGTATGATTGCTGGGGGGGGGGGGGCTGTGTGTGTATGATTGCTGGAGGGGGGGTATATGATTGCTGGGGAGTGGGGTGTATGATTGCTGGGGGGGGTGTATGATTGCTGGGGTGGGGGTGTATGATTGTTGGGGGGGGCTGTGTGTGTATGATTGCTGGGGGGGGCTGTGTGTATGATTGCTGGGGGGGGCTGTGTGTGTATGATTGCTGGGGGGGGCTGTGTGTATGATTGCTGGGGGGGGGTGTTTGATTGCTGGGGGGGCTGTGTGTGTATGATTGCTGGGGGGGGCTGTGTGTATGATTGCTGGGGGGGGGGGGTGTATGATTGTTGGGGGGGGGCTGTGTGTATGATTGCTGGTGGGGGGTGTATGATTGCTGGGGGGGCTGTGTGTGTATGATTGCTGGGGGGCTGTGTGTGTATGATTGCTGGGGGGCTGTGTGTGTATGATTGCTGGGGGGGGGGCTGTGTGTGTATGATTGCTGGGGGGGGGGCTGTGTGTGTATGATTGCTGGGGGGGGGGGCTGTGTGTGTATGATTGCTGGGGGGGGGGCTGTGTGCATGATTGCGGGGGGGGGGGCTGTGTGTATGATTGCTGGGGGGGTGTGTATGATTGCTGGGGGGCTGTGTGTGTATGATTGCTGGGGGGGGTGTATGATTGCTGGGGGGGGGTGTATGATTGCTGGGGGGGGGTGTATGATTGCTGGGGGGGGGCTGTGTGTATGATTGCTGGGGGGGGGGGTGTATGATTGCTGGGGGGGGGGTGTATGATTGCTGGGGGGGGGGCTGTGTGTATGATTGCTGGGGGGGTGTGTATGATTGCTGGGGGGCTGTGTGTGTATGATTGCTGGGGGGGGGCTGTGTGTATGATTGCTGGGGGGGGGGGGCTGTGTGTGTATATGATTGCTGGGGGGCTGTGTGTGTATGATTGCTGGGGGGGGGGGCTGTGTGTGTATGATTGCTGGGGGCTGTGTGTGTATGATTGCTGGGGGGGGGGCTGTGTGTGTATGATTGCTGGGGGGCTGTGTGTATGATTGCTGGGGGGGAACTGTGTGTGTATGATTGCTGGGGGGGGCTGTGTGTATGATTGCTGGGGGGGGGGCTGTGTGTGTATGATTGCTGGGGGGGGCTGTGTGCATGATTGCGGGGGGGGGGGTGTGATTGCTGGGGGTGTGATTGCTGGGGGGGGTGTATGATTGCTGGGGGGGGGTGTGATTGCTGGGGGGGGTGTGATTGCTGGGGGTGTGATTGCTGGGGGGGGTGTGATTGCTGGGGGTGTGATTGCTGGGGGGGGAATGGTGTGGGGTTGAGAAGCTGCGCGTGGCCGGGCCCGGAGGGGAGGAGCTGTCAATCATCGCGGGGGCGGGGCTAAGAGAAGTCAGTCACAGGCCGGAGAGTCAGAGCCGGTAATGACCCCCCGCCTGACCCCTGACCCCCAACCTGACCCCCCCCAGCCTGACCCCTGACCCCCAACCTGACCCCCAGCCTGACCCCTGACCCCCCGCCTGACCCCTGACCCCCAACCTGACCCCCGCCTGACCCCTGACCCCCAACCTGACCCCCGCCTGACCCCTGACCCCCAACCTGACCCCCAGCCTGAACCCTGACCCCCAGCCTGACCCCCAGCCTGAACCCTGACCCCCAGCCTGACCCCCAGCCTGACCCCCAGCCTGACCCCTGACCCCCAGCCTGACCCCCTCTGCCCACAGCCTGACCGCCTCTGCCCACAGCCTGACCGTCTGCCCACAGCCTGACCCCCTCTGCCCACAGCCTGACCCCCTCTGCCCACAGCCTGACCGTCTGCCCACAGCCTGACCCCCTCTGCCCACAGCCTGACCCCCTCTGACCACAGCCTGACCCCTCTGCCCACAGCCTGACCGCCTGCCCACAGCCTGACCCCCTCTGCCCACAGCCGGACCCCCTCTGCCCACAGCCTGACCGCCTCTGCCCACAGCCTGACCGCCTGCCCACAGCCTGACCGCCTCTGCCCACAGCCTGACCGCCTGCCCACAGCCTGACCCCCTCTGCCCACAGCCTGACCCCTGCCCACAGCCTGACCCCCTCTGCCCACAGCCTGACCCCCTCTGCCCACAGCCTGACCGCCTGCCCACAGCCTGACCGCCTGCCCACAGCCTGACCGCCTGCCCACAGCCTGACCCCCTCTGCCCACAGCCTGACCCCCTCTGCCCACAGCCGGACCCCCTGCCCACAGCCGGACCGCCTGCCCACAGCCTGACCGCCTGCCCACAGCCTGACCGCCTGCCCACAGCCGGACAGCCTGCCCACAGCCGGACCCCCTGCCCACGGCCTGACCCCCTCTGCCCACAGCCTGACCCCCTCTGCCCACAGCCTGACCCCCTCTGCCCACAGCCTGACCGCCTGCCCACAGCCTGACCCCCTCTGCCCACAGCCTGACCGCCTGCCCACAGCCTGATTGCCTGCCCACAGCCTGACCGCCTGCCCACAGCCTGACCGCCTGCCCACAGCCGGACCGCCTGCCCACAGCCTGACCGCCTGCCCACAGCCTGACCCCCTCTGCGCACAGCCTGACCGCCTGCCCACAGCCTGACCGCCTGCCCACAGCCTGACCGCCTGCCCACAGCCGGACCGCCTGCCCACAGCCTGACCGCCTGCCCACAGCCTGACCCCCTCTGCCCACAGCCTGACCCCCTCTGCGCACAGCCTGACCGCCTGCCCACAGCCTGACCAGCTGTTGGCCTTGACAGTGGCCAGAGACAGCGACTGTGACATCAATTGCTTGAATCCAGTGAGCCGAAGAGAGTTATCTATCTTCAGCACCCGATAAAATGTCACCAGGAACATTCAGAGAAAGAGGAGGCCTGGCATTGTTCATATCATAGTGATGGTCTAATTCCTGATGACATTTTATTTTAGTTGGTGCTACAGTCAGTTTGTATTTTCTATTTTAATTACCTGCAATATTTGCTTAATGTCAAATGAGTCCTGATTAGTGCAGATAATTGCTCTCATTGAAATGAGGACAACGTTTCCTCATTTTCCTTTATTTCAAACATAGAGAATGATGTACCACAGTCAATTATTAGTGTAAAGGTGCTAGTATTAAATCCGGTGAAGCTGAATTTAGATAAAGCAGAATTACTTGGTACCAACAATTTATTCTTTTAGGAATGGCTGAGCAAAAAGTACAACTTTCTCTTTCCGAGATTGTTAAAGAAGTAGCTGAGCAACAGGACCGACAGACAGTAGAGGCACAAGACAACAATAACCTTCTTAGATACCTCCAGGTAAGTCTGATTCTACTTCTATGTACCATTCAAACCTCGCTGGAATCCAAATCAAAACACAATATCAAACCTCACGACATTCAAACATCAATACAGCATCAGTCAAAAGCACATAGAAGAGTAATCCGGTATTAAATTGTGGGAGCTTCTTAAAGTTTGAATCTGGTTGATCAGGGGAAGAAGATCTCATGATTCTCGCTTTGAACAGGAGTATGCAGAACGTTAGCCATTGCCGTCATTGATTGTGTTTTAGTGTAATAATAATAATAATAATCCTTGCATTTGATATAGCGCTTTTCACGTCGGGAGGACGTCCCAAAGCGCTTCACAGAATGTACTGTAAAGTGAATTGACTGTATATTTGTGGGCGAACGCGGCAGCCAATTGCGCACAGCAGTGTCCCACAAACAGTCATGGATTGAAAATGACCAATTTATTATTGTTTAGTTTTTTTGGAGGGATTATTGTTCGGCGTGTGGAGCAAGGAAACTTGCCCAAGCTTTCGCCCTGACCTGCCTGGAATTGAACTCAGGTCTCTCGCTTGCAAAGTCAGTGCTCTAACCACTGAGCTACAGGACTCCACATTTATAATAATAATAATAATAATCCTTACATTTAGTATAATGTGTTTCACATCGTGAGGATGTCCCAAACTCTTCACAGGCTATACTCTAAAGTGCATTGACTGTTCCTCATTAAAATCTATCTTTGTTTTTGCAGGCCCAATTATCTAAACAGGAGAAAGAAAAACAAGTGGTTTTAAAAGAACTCAGAACAATAGAGAAACAGATTTACCAGGCAGAAGATGAGTCAGAGAATGAGGGTCAACTTTGTACTGACCTGGAGTCCCAGATATGGAGCCTGATTGCAAGCAATTCAAAGCTGAAATTTATCATTCAAGAAGAAGAAGAAAAGTACGTGAAGTTGCTTTCCGGCTATGATAAATACCGCAAAAAGATATTAGCTCACAAAGAGTTTATTGGCCAGCTGGAAAGCAAGAATCCAATAATGATGCAGCTTGAAGAAAAAATGCTAATGATGCAAAAGTTAAAAGCAAAAAAGAAGGAGCTGGTGGCAGATCTTCAGAATCCTGAAGGAAATATCATAAAACAAGTACAGGTTTGAAATATTTTCTGTTGTAGCTGAAAGTGTACGACAACATTACCATGAAAAAAGTAGCTAAATACTCAACTGTTAGGAGATAGAAATTGAACCGCTTAATTTGGAGTAATCTGTGCAGGATACATGTGGTGACAACAACAACAAATTATATTTGTATACCGCCCTTTGTGTCGGAAAGACATCCCAGGGCGCTGGACAGTCAGGGGTTTTTGGACTCGAGCTGGGAGTTTGGGTCAGGAAGGGGTGGAGGGCAGGGGGAATGGGGGTGGGAGGATGGCCGAAGGCACGATCGAAAAGGAAGGTCTTTAGATGGGACTTGAAGGAGGCAAAAGAGGGGGTGAGGCATAGGGAATGCATGATAGAGTTCCAAAGTGTGGGGCAGAGATGCTGTCTGCAGTTTAATGTTAAAAAATAGTACTTTTATTCTTTTCTTATTTAAACAGGGAGAAATTACAGATTTAAAGGCCAAGTTATCGGAAATAAAAGAAGCAATCAATGAAAAATCTGTTTTATTGATCAAGGAACAAGAACGTCATGCGCAACTTCGGAAAGAAATAGAGGTAATAAAAAATCCTATGTAAATCATAAGTTAGTAGTTTTTAAAAGAATCAATACAATAAAAAAAATGGACAGTACTTTCCACGGTTATGTAAACTGACAATCAGGCCTTCTCTCTCTCTCTCTCTCTGTTCCTCTCTAGATATGATGTCTCTCTGTGCTGGAGCCTCATTAAAATTGCTACTCTGTAGGTTCTACAATTGTACTCCTGTAAAGACTAGATGCAAAAAGGTTTTATTTAGTAAAGCACCAGAATCGATACCTAGACTTTTTTTTCTTTAACGCAATACCAGACTTTGTTAAACTGATTATCAATATCTATATATAATACTACTGTAAATTACATTTCCAAATAGGTATAGGAATATAGTATACCTCTGTCCTGGTTGGCTGTAGCATTAATTACTATCTGAAAAGCTATTTCCATGTGCTATTCTTTTGCAGGTTCAGAACAAAAGATGTGAAGCCATTCTGAAACGTTTATATTGCCAGTTAAATAAAGTTCAATCTAACAAGAGACACTGGACCTGGGATATGCAACAAATGGAAAAAACTGCAGCACACTTGAGAAGATGTCTTGGAAATGCAGTGTAAAAGTGCTAGTTGGTAAATTTACTGTGCTATGCGAGTTTATAATGGCGAAATCTAGTTAAACATGCATCTGCCAAGATTAGTAAACATCTCTTTCTCCATTATAATGTATTTAAAGTAAGAATATGTTTTCCCCAATAACACTTTGTAGTTGCTTGGAAAAAAAGTTTTAAAATAACCATTTAAATTTTGAATAAATTCTCTTAAGGCTAGGTAAAAGGCAGTCATTTTAAGATGTTTAAATTACACTATATTTAAAATATAATTATAAATGGGTAAAGGCTTTGTTATTGTTCTTTAATGTTGTTAACCTTGTAAAAATTGGTTAAAAATGATTTTAAAATTAATGCAATATTTCCGCTTTGACATTTATGAATAATAAACTTGTGAACAATAACTTGTGGCTTATTAACCAATGGCCTTATGCACTTATTAGATATTTTTCAAACCATATGTTACCAATTGGCCTTGAGCCCAGTTTGGCAAAGTTAGTTATACAGCTATTTGACTGTGGGAATTTTGTTGAATTTTTGTTTCTCTGCAAAAATAAGAATACTATTGACTCTCAAATAAAAGAATTAAAGAGTACATGGAATTCATAATTTTCAGTTTTCGCAAGTTTCAGTGAAAGTCAGATTGTAACTCCTTTTTCTGCCACAAATCGCATTTAAATGACCAGATATCGAGGCTTTAATATTGTGTGCTAATAGTGCTGTATAGTGGAGTCCTGTACTCACCTTGCAAGCGAGAGACCTGCGTTTGATTCCTGGCACGGCAAAACCTTGGGCAAGTTTCCTTACTTCACACACCTGATAATAATCCCTCAAGAAATAAAAACAGTAATAAATTGGTTGCTTCAATTCACGACTGTTTGTGGAACACTGCTCTGCGCAATTGACTGCTGCTTTTCGCCCACAAATACACAGTCAATTTACTTTGCCGTATATTCTGTGCAGCACTTTGAGACGTCTAGAAGATGTGAAAAGCTCTATATCAAATGCAAGGATTATTATTATATTCTTTATAATTTATCCCTCTAAAACTATAATCAACCTGATTGGGGTCCTTTGCTTCTCCTCTATTGTTTGGGTAGCCCGTATAATAGGTTGGGGGTCAGAATTATACATAACTCTGGGTGTGGTCTGACCAGCGAGTTAAATAGCTTGAATTGCCCAGCATCACATTTGCCTTGTTTACTGTTGCCTCACATAGAAACATAGAAATGTACAGCAAAGCACATGTACAGCCTTTCAGTCCATTTTCTCATGTCGACATTTACTCTCCCATGAAGTCATTCTTCCTAATCCCGATTTCCTCCTCTTATTGAACCATAGAAAATTATTTAATGTGTGAAAGGATCTTTTCCGGGGGTAACAATACCTTCAAAAAAAAAAATATACTAATAATAGATTGGTCATTTCAATCCACGACTGTTTGTGGGACGCTACTGTGTGCAATTGGCTACCGTGTTTTGCCCACAAAATATACAGTCAATTCACTTTACAGCATATTCTGTGAAGCGCTTTGAGACGTCAAGAAGACGTGAAAAGCGTTATATCAAATGCAAGGATTATTATATTATGGTATCTAAATATTAGTAATATAAAGAAATGCGTGCGTGGATCATCCTATAGACATTGTACCGGCTGCTTTGGATAGAGAGAGAGAGCCCAGTCACTGGAGCAGTTTACACACAGAAGAGTGCATTAGAGATACAGTGCCCTGAGCAATGGGTTCCTGAAAGAAAATAACTTGAGTTTCAGTGGCAGCACATGTTTGATACATGGGGGGAAAGGATACATTAGCGAAGTAAAACTATGAATGTGAAAAGCTCTACCGGATTGCGTAAAACTAAAGATTTTTTTAATATAAAGAATACTAATTATTAAATTCCATTCATACAGCAATCACACCCCTCACTGTTAGGTATAAAGAAGCTCAACCAAACTGTCCAACCATTTGTCCCTTCTGATTTCTACAAGAAAGTAATATAAAGTCATTCCACGTTCGGTGCAAAGTGTATCTTCCTCTTGTCTTGTTTGAGATCTTAGACACTGAAGCCAAAGAAAGAGTGTGACAGTGTCAATGTGTGGGTTAGTGTCAATGTTTGTGTGTGGGTCAGTGTCGGTGTGGTCAGTGTGTGTGTATCAGTGTGTGAGACAGTGTCAGTCAGTGTGTGTGTGTGTATCAGTGTGTGGGTCATTGTTAGTGTGTGTGTATCAGTGTGTGGGTCAGTGTCAGTGTGTGTGTATCAGTGTGTATCAGTGTGTGTGTGTGTCAGTATGTGTGTGTGTGTCTGTGTGTGTATCAGTGTGTGTGTGTGTCAGTATGTGTGTGTGTGTCTGTGTGTGTATCAGTATGTGTGTGTCAGTGTCAGTGCGTGTGTGTTTCAGTGTGTGTATGTATCAGTGTGAGGGTCAGTGTGTGTGTGTGTATCAGTATCAGTGTGGGGATCAGTGTCAGTGTGTGTCAGTGTCAGCTGGACCTGCAATCAGACATTGTGCTTCTCTAGTTATTTACTAACAGGCGAGAGTGGTTCATCCTATAGACATTGTACCAATTGCTTTGTACAGAGCAAGAGCCCAGACCCCGGAGAAGCTAAAAGCAGCCCATGTAATATTTTTCCTTTTGGTTTTACTTTGCTTTGTCTAAAGCGAGGAAGTGCACTGAATCCTGCAGGTAAGTCTGTGCACAAACACTTGAAGAGCCAAGGAGCAGTATATTTTTGTTGATTTTTCAATACTTAAAACTCCAGTTCTTTGTTTACAGATAGAGTAGAAAAACAAGTTGTTTATGTTTCAACAGCCAAAAGTATTTAGGAAAAACTGTATGTAGAAATAAATAACTTACACTAGGGGGCATAGTCTTAAAATTGGAACCAGGCTACTTAAGAGTGAAATCAGGAAGCATTTTTTCACTCAAAGCGTGATAGAAATCTGGAATTCTCTCCCTCAAAAGGCCGTGAAGGCTGGATCCATCCACACCTTCACAGATTTGGTAGGTCAAGGTATCAAGGGATATGGGGAAAAAGAGGAAAATTGGAATTGACAGGATTAGTCGAGGTTCAGATCAGCCATGATTTAATTAAATGGCAGAACAGGCTCAAAGGGCTGAATGGCCTACTCCTGTTCCTATGTTCCTATAATGATTTGGTGTAGGTCCTTAACATAGTGTCAACACATCATCCAATGAACATTTACATGATTCACTATAAGTGTCGTGACTGTATTTGTAGCTGAATACACAGTATTTTATTGTATAGTGTACCTGTATGGACAAAGAATAAAGACAGCAGAATAAAGCCAAAAAATAAGTTTGTTGGGGTTATTTCTGGTGGTGGGAGGATTCGTGCTTAAGTTTTACAGCAGAATTGTGAAGTTGGGTTCAACCTGTGTGATTCAGATGATAAAGTGAAAATTAAAGTTGAAAAAAAAGCTTGCAGAGACTGCGACTTAATCACCATAATCGTATGTTTTGTATTCCAGTTTTAGAGAAATAATAAATGTAATTTAAGGAAAAACTAATCTTTTTGTCTTTCACCAGTTAGGTTAATATCGTTTATATTCCAAAAAGTGCCCCTAAAGAAGAAGTGGCTCTTAGCAGTGCTCTCTTTAGCTAGTATGGTGGAGGCGATTTTGGTTGACTTTTCAAACTTTGTTTTTCACTCTCCAAATGACCGTACCCAGGAGTGGCTTAGCAATGCTATGGAAATCATCAAAGCGCACAGCAAGATCAAGTGTCCATATGTTTTTGTGTTCTACCTCGAGAGAGATACAAACAATATCAATAAAGATATCCAAAGCATTTTACTTAATTTATCAGAACAAATTCCTGTGCCAAAGGAAAACATCGATGTCTTAGTGTATCCAAGTATGGCTGCCATCTTGTACAATGTTAAGCAGAAAATTGATAAGCTGAATCTCAGCACTATAAATGTCATCATGCCTGTCAATAAGAAAGCCATGATGGATGTGTACATCAATCAACTATTTACTGCAGTTTATGAATTCACATTTGAAAGACTTGCTACAAGAAATGAAGGTGGAATAAAATTGGAAGCATCAGTACCTTGCACGAAGGACAATAATGTCCTCACTGACCAACATGCTGATGAAATCTGTAAGGATATTTGGACATTTCTAGGGCAACTCAAAGGACTTATGGGACAGATTGCAATTCTCCATTCTCCACTGATCCCAGGTATACGTTATAAATTTAGCAAAGCTAGAAAAGTGTCAACTAGATCAATACTACTGGTTTATTATTTAATTACGGGATAGGATGTTTTGTAAATGTAACATGCAATGTTTACTGTAATTGTAATCTCTTGAGAACTGTATGCCTACCAACAGCCGTGTAGATAAGCCTGGTATTGATCATCTTGAACTTTCTGTTCATCTGTTATTTAGAAATTACAATTGTTACATGGACCTACATTGCCAGATAAAACTTGATCCTATTGCGCTAGGTAACTGCAACATCGTACATTATATTTATATAAATGCCCAGCAATGTGATCATTTTCAAGTCAATCCAGGATTAAATCTGCTGAGTCGGATCCACAGCTATATCTTTATTGAACAAATAATAATAATAATCCTTACATTTGATATAGAGCCTTATTACATCTTCGAGACATCTCAAAGCGAGTCACAGAATATACTGTAAAGTGAATTAACTAGATTTTGTGGGCGAAGTGTTCACTTAAAATGTGCATATAATGTTTCAATGCTAAATGATTTGTGTTGGCAACTTCTAAGTAAACTTGGAATATAATTCAGTGTGTGTGTGTGGGGGGGTGGGAAGGGAAATGGAAAAAAAAATTGTGCTCAATTATCACTAAATTGCAGCAATTTTTAATTGTTCACATCTGAATTTTATCTTTGACTTTAAAAACATACTTAACGATGAAATGAAAACCTTTTTCATTTTGTCTAAATCTTTAAATGTTTTTAAGGCAACGCTTCAATTCCTCAACTCACTGTGGCAGTTCACTTAAAATGCAGCACAACTGGGCATTGCTTTAAAAGTTGAACATACCTTTCATCTGTTCTGGTAATGAAGTTATTGTTTGAAGACTAATGGTGAAAAGGGTGATAACGTCATTACTTGGTCCTGACATTAATTTGAGACTAATTTTAAATATCATTTTCTTTGTCTATGTTTTTGTTCTAAATTTGTCACAGATGTATTCCTTCATGGCTTTACAACAAGATGTGGTGGCATATCCTATATACCAAGCCTCAGTTCCTTGAACCTTTTCAGCAGCTTTAAACGTAGAGATCCAAAGGCTGTGATTAATGAGAATATACGGCGCTTGGCCACAACTGCAGGATTTAACCCCAAAATCTACTACCTCGCAAAGGTAAAAGTCTCAGTTCAATCCGATATTAATATGCAGCAACGTGCTGTGTTAATAACTTGTATATAGATGTTGGGATACTGAAATGTTTAGAATACACACTAACATCTTCTTGTTAGGGAAACTGTTTTGGCTTCATTCCTGGGAAAGCACTGTGCATGTGCAGTAAATGTTTAACTTGTGGTCACCTGGTGATAGGTAAACCATGGAAACACCATCTGGACTATGGGGAGACCGGAGCCAGCGAACTATGATGGAATTGTGACCAACCAGAAAGGAGTCACCATAGCAGCACCAGGAGCTGACTGCATCCCTTTGATCTTTGCTGATCCTGTCCAAATAGCATGTGGAGCAGCTCATGCAGGTAATGTTCCATCCACGTTTAGGCATTCAAATCAATATAAATTGAGTAGAAAAACATTCTGTAACAATTCATTCTTGACTTTTTCCTGTCAAGAACGTGTATAGAAAATTACTATTCGGAATCAGGCGATTTGACCTGACTTGTCTGTGCTCGCGTTTATACTCCACATGAGCTTCCATGTCTCCTGATCCCTTCTCTGTCTTCCCACCTAATTGCTAGCACGATTCTGAGAATCAGTGGGTTAAAAATGTTGGTTTACTATTGTGATTCTCAATTTCTGCCGTGAGAAGTACTTTATATTTCCTTCCTCCATGTGTTCCTCCATTGGCGGGTGGGCCTTCAGCGTCTCTGCCCCCACCCTCTGGAACTTCATCCCACAGTCCCTCTGCCCCCTCCCTTGCCTCCTTCAAGACTTGTCTCAAGACCCTCCTCTTCTACTGTGCCTTCAGTCACCCTCCTACTCCTACCCTCCCCCCAATACACCCCTCCTGATCCCAACCAGCAGCTTAGGTATGATCCCTGATAGTCTAGTGCCTTGGGATGTCCTCCTGACATGAAAGGCGCTATACAAATGTAATTTGTTGTTGTTGTTATTTCCATATTGTTTGATCTTCCCACCCTAGGTTGGAGAGGTACTCTGGCTGGAGTGGCTATAGCTACAGTAAACACAATGATGACTGAGTTTGCCTGCAGTATGAAGGATATTCGAGTGGTGATGGGACCTTGTGTGGGCGAGTGCTGCTTTACACTGCACCAAGAGGCAGCTGAAGAATTTATCAAGATAGACTCGAGCTGCGTGAGAAACACAGATGGATCCAAACCTCATGTGAATCTTAGACAAGCAACCAGGTTAGAGTGAAATGTTTGTAGTTGACACAGAAACTGAGGTTATAAAAGTTGATACCTAAAAATTGGGAAATATGTATTTTTTCCTAGATTTTGTTTTGGGTGCTTAAAGTTTCTAAATTGATATATGTTTAAATATTTACCATTTTTAAGGGTGGAATTGAAGCTGGTAATTAGTGAAATTTTATAGCCAATAATGAACATGGCTAGCTTTTAAATTAAATTCCAAAAGACAGAGGCGGCTCAATAAAAATATTCTTTTCTCTTGATTCATTCTTTTCTTTCCTAAGAGTGTTGCTGGAACGTGAAGGGATTTTATCAGAAAATATATGTGATGTTTCCACTTTTAATCCAAGCAACAAAGGTACTCTTTGTACTGCTTGTCAGCCTGATATGTTCTTTTCACACACTCGGGATGGGCAAAACTTTGGAACCCAAATTGGATTCATATCTGTCAGAGACTAAAAGCAAATATCCAAACTCGTAGAGGTAAGAGTACAATTTAATGTTTAATTTTTATATATTACAGATCTCGCAATAACTAAATACTCTGGGTTTTATGAGGTGGTGTTTCACACAAGACTTTATGTTGCCAGTTTGGCTCACTTGGTAGCATTGTCACTTTTGGGTCAGAAAGTTGTTGTTTCAAGTCACCTCCCCCATCTCCCAAGCTCAGCATCAAGCGACACCAATATTAAGCTCTCCGAGATGTTACCCCGTGTGAAGGACGCTATATAAATACAAGTTGATATTGTTGTTAATCAGGTGCTATAAAAATGCAAAGGTTTTCTTTCTTTGTTTAAGGAGCTCAGTTTAAGTATAAGGTTCAGTGTGAGGGGATGGAATTTATCTCATGAAAAGAATGGTTTTCTTGCACTTTCAGTTTACATTTCCAAACTAAACTCTTAACTTTTATTTTCTAGTAAAGTTTCTAAAATACAAAACCGTCTTTATACTAGTGATTATTATAAGTGTACCTTCATGTTTTTCAGTGCCTTCTATTGGTGTCCAATGGTGCCACCTGCTGGTACCTATTCTCTTCTATAAGGTGAATAGCTGAGTGGAATATTACCTGAAAACTATTTTCTCTTTGGTGCATCAATTGCTATTTGCTACTTGCTTTTTCAACAGAAGGAATTCCTCCAAGCTGACTTTGTGAATCCTGATAGCAAAGGTGTTTTTCTAACAATAGTTTCACAATGATCTTTAATAATGCATTTAAGCGCATTTAAGTGCTCTGAGATGCCGTCCGGCGTAGATGGCGCTATATAAATCCAAGTTATTGTTGTTGTAACAAAAGCAAATTATTTTCTATTTTTGGATACAATATGGCACCTAGGTTTTGCACACATCTTTCAGTGAAGTACGATGCATATTATGTGAGAAAAACTTTGAAGATTAATTTTATCATAATTTTTACATTTTGTTTTTTTTATATACAAAATGTGTCCTGGCCAACAATCAATAAATGTTGTCATTCACTCTATGATTGTTTGTGGGACATTGGTTTTGTTTTCCTTTTATACTGGGGAAAGGCATAATTATATACCATTATTTTTGTACGCGGTAGAATGCAACAAGCAGTAATAGTTTCATGAGCAGTAAGTAGTACTGGTCAGTCTGCCTGGTTTTGGGGAGGTTCCAAAGATTTACATTTATTTGACAGTGGCAAATATTATGCTGTATTTCTTTTAAAATCTTCCCCACATTTTTTGAGAGTGGGATACACAAAAGTTAAAATAAATTCAACAAAAGTATGACTTTTAGTTATAATTGAAAAAAGATCAAAATTGTTCAACCTTTAAAAGTGCATTTATATAATACAACTTGTAGTTATATAGTGCCTTTGAAGCAGGATAGCATCTCAGAGAGCTGCATGGTGGCGGTTTTGGATGCTGAGCAAGAGAGGAGGCGGGGGAGATGACGATAGGTGCAGTCTTCCAGTGTAGAATCCAGTTCAAATTAACCAAATTGAGTTGAATTTATAATATCTTTTCGTGACATTAACAAATCATTTTCTTTCAACCTGATTTATACCCATCATTACAAGCTCCATTTATTAATCACGTTCATTTTGAAGAATTGAAATGGCCTCAGTAACTCTGCTGTTGCTATGAGTCTGAACCATTCATCACACAGATGGTAGTCACTGGTTCCTAAGCCAGATGAGTTTTCAGTACTCAAGGGAGATACCAGCTAGCCTGACTCATTGGAAGGAATTTGAGGGGCAGACCTGAGGGCAGGGATTCTCCCCACTTGGCTTTGGTTCACCCTGCAAACCAAATCCCTGTGGTCCTAAATTGGACAAGCAGCGGGAAGCTTGCTTGACACTCCTCTCATTGCGGTTTTAGCTGGTCAGGATCCCAAAGCCTTAACTCTCACCAACCTGTGGCTAATTCACGCAGGAATTCGATAAGCAGAAATCTCCCTCCAGGGAAAGAGTATGTATTCCATTCAACAACAACAACAAAATTACATTTGTATAGCGTCTTTCACGTCGGGAGAACAAACAAAGGTGCTGGACAATCAATGTCTTACTGCAAAAGTGCAATGAATATGTATTTTGAAATAAAGATAAATTTCATGGCAACTTTGGGAGTCATGACCTCCCCTAATGTCTTTTGTAATTTTGTCCCTTTCACTCCCTCTAAATAAAAGTAAGCAGCAAACATAGATAAAAGCTCTTTAGTGGCACCATATGGTGCACAAATTATGATCTCTTCAACTATAAAGAGGAATTCAACCAACCTTACTATGTTATTGACTTAATTGAACACCTTGATAATTAAGATACCAATTAGTTCTATATTTCTTCACTGGATTGAATGACTTCCTATTCAATTGCTTTGGGCAACTGGGGATGCATTGCTTGTTCAGACAAGTCCCTTTAGTTCAGCACCACCCAAACATAATTAAACCGCTTTTTGTACATAAAGCTTCCCATAAAACTATTCCTAGCATTGAAGAACTGCACCAAAGTGAAAATGCTGGAACAGAGAGTTGATTTTAGTTTGGTCAATACTACAGAAGAACAAAATGTAGGCAAAGGGTCAAAAGATACTATTAACAGAACCTGCAGCTCTTGTGACTGGAATAGGTGGAGCAGCCATGCAAATACACTTGAGAGGCAATTATGATTACCCAATAACCAAAGTGTAGATAGAAGTGCAGGTGTTAAAACTCTAATGATGTACAAGGAGGAGACACTTAGTAAATGTTGTGGGAGTCAAGATGAATGCAAAGGGAAGTGCTTTTTCCTGCACATGGAATCTGAGCAATATGTTCGGCTCTGATGGTTACAAAGTCTTTTAAACCCTCTCAACCTAACCAGTTTCTCAAATATGCTGCCTGTTTGGTAAGTGACAGGGTCAATAGCACTGAACTTCTTTTTGAGAAGTTCATTCAGATAGCGCAGATTGAGTGGAGGGAAATAACAACTTAACTTTCTGGGAATGATGAATCAATGATGTGATGACCTTTATATTTGTCCAGGCAGGAAGAATCATCCTTCATCTTGTATACATGAAAGAGGCTCGCAACACCAATCAGTAAGGTCACTGGATAGGTTTGAGTGAAGAAAGTGCTTCAGTCCATTTGACTCCATTGTTCATATACTATACTCCATGCTGGCATACAATTTCTCAAGGGGAAGCTGAAAGAGATCAGGGGTGTTAGTTGACTCTTCACTCATGGCACAAAAGTGTGAGATAGCAATAAACAAGGCAAATAGGATATTGGACTACATTGTCAAATCAGTTGAGTTTGAAACCCCAGATGTCATACTCAAGCTCTATGATGCTCTAACCAGTCTCACCGAGACTACATTTCTGATCACTGTGATATAAAGGGGCTGATAATGATCAAACAAGCTATGGTTCTTCAGTCTTGAGAGAAGAGATCTTATAGAAGTGCATAAGATTTTAAAAGAAAACCCTAACAATACTTTTGAAAGTATCAAAACAGTTAGAGGAGATAGGTTTAGATTTGCAAAGTGCAATTTCAGGACAGACACATAAGAACATAAGAATTTGCTAGGCAAAAGAAAACCAAGGTCCATCTACCAGGAAGGTTTTCTTCAAACAACAACCACAAATTATATTTGTTTAGCGTTTTCACATTGGAAGGACGTATCAAAGTCCAAAGGGTAATTAATGACTGTAACAATTTGTGGGCCCTTTTTATCCAAACCAATCTCACCTGTTTTCCCAGTATAGCAACAAACTATTTCTTAAATCAATCCAGTGTTTTAGCCTTAATCCAGATAACTAATTGTAATTCTGGTTTGCTCTCCTCTCAAGGCATTGTGACTAAAGTGGTTGGAACGCACAGCCCTCTAAATTGAGGAAGCCTTAATACATTTGCCCCAGACATCCACTGTTAGTTGACTCATCACTCATGGCACAAAAGTGTAATTATTATGAGAAGGTTGTTTTTTCACAGAGTTCTTAGAATGTGGAACATTTTTACTGTTTTACACTGTTAAAACTGAGTTAACACCAATATTTAAAGGGTATTAATAATGTGGTAAATAATATTAAAATATTAGATAAAGAGTTGTGTAATTAGGTTAGTGAGTACAGCTTCAGTGTGGAGGGAAGGAGCAGTGGGGAGAGCTTGCACCGGAATCAACATCATGGGCTGAATAGCCTCCCTCTGTGCTGTAAACCTCCAGTGATTCTGCAATTATCTACTTGCACTAATTCCAGAAGCAAAGCCCAAGGGAGTACCAGAATGTGGATTGCAAAATATTCCACACATTGAACCCCAGAAGACTCTGAGCTAGAACCAAAGTACACAACGCTCCATGAAAACAGCTACTGAGATGTTACATGATACCGTGAAGGTGTCATCTCTTTTGACAACAGTAAGAAATCCCCAATATTCTTCCCGCAAGAACATTCTACATTTATCACAGTGCATTACAGTTGAAAACCCACCAGGCAGACAGTCATCTAAGATTTCTGAAGCCCACTTTTCTCAATAAAATATTTAATGGATTAAAATTTGTTATCCTGTATGCCTATAATTTGAGAAAAAAATGTAAATCCTGAAAACTTAAATGTAATTCATTGATGAATTCAATTATTGTACAGTTGTTAAAAAGAAATCCGCACTTTGGGGAAAACATTTTTTTTGTGGAAAACAAAGACAAATTGAAAGGAATATTTGCTTTTTCAAATATATGCAAAAAAAATGTTTATTAAGATTTTATTCTGTCTGGAAGAAGTACCATTTTTCTTCTTAGTAAGTGTTGGCACATTTTTTCTCGATAGCACCAATTTTCCAGCTCTATCTAAAGATACATGGGGAAAGAGTAATTCTCTTGAAAAAGTGGCACTCAAAGTGTTCAAACAAATTTAAACAAATATACATTTGTTTAATATATAAATTTATATATAAATTTAAACAAATATACATTTGTTTTAAAGTGATTTTAAGAATATGATAACAATTGATTTAACATACCTTATGCTAACTATTTATCACACTCTCACTATGTAGACCAGGACCTTGGGACAATGAAACCACAATATAAATCCAATTTGCTGCCGTTGTTGTTGCAAATGAGGCAGTGACTGCCAATAGCAAGAACAGGCCTTGCCTAAAGAGGTCAGTGTTGCACTGTGTTCGAAAGAACAGTAAATCGTTCCATACGCTTTATATACAATTTACCCATTTCCATTCACCAATTTCTAATGGAATTCACAACATGAAAATGGTGGATGTTGAAGGTAAAATCGTGACTTAAAGGCAGAGTGAAATTATTCCTCAAATGTACAGCAGGAGACTAAATCATTGGCTTTTGTTTTCAGATATTAGTGGGGTTAAAATTGCAATGTTTCTTAATCTGTTAAATGTGTTAAAACGTTGAATCTGTTAAGAAGCATTGCAATTTTCATTCTATTATTTTTAGTATCTGAGTTGTCCTAGAATTCCTTAAAAAATATATAACTTAGTCACTCAATCCACTACTGTTTGTGGGACACTGCTGTGCGCAGTTGGCTGCCGCGTTTCGCTCACAAAATATACAGTCAATTCATTTTCCAATATATTCTGTGAAGCACTTTGAGACATCTGGAAGATGTGACAAGGCGCTATATCAAATGCAAAGATTATTATTCCTCAGTGAACCTGTATACAAGTACTGAAAGATTCAATCGATTTCACACAGCCATCTCAAATGTTAGATTGCAACAATAATTATTTAGTTTCTAATCCACAAATATATAAATCCAAGACACTACCCTGTGAGAAGGCGCTATACACATACAAGTCATTTTTGTTGTTGTCCTTCCTCCTCCCTTCTTTCTCACAATGTTGAAACCAACTCATTGCACCAACTTCTGCTCCATTTAGCTTTACCAGGAACTCATATGTGTCTTGCTACCCTCAGTCATTCCTTCCTCTTTTACAGGCTTTTAAAAAGTGAAGCTCATTCTAATCTAACCATCAGTTCCTGATTTGTCTAACCTTCTCTCCTCTTTT